TTCAAATGGTGCGGAGGCCTCCTGCCCGGTAAGGTGTGTATAAAATAAATGGACTTTATTTCACGTTCTCATGATAAAGTCGCTGAAGTTTAAACCTCAGAGGCTGTGTCCTCACACCAGATGAAGCAAACACTTGCGGTGACACCATTATCAGCCTAAGTTTAGGTTAGTATCTGCTATTCACTCATTCCTGTGAAATGCACGCTTTAATCAGGAATTTCATTTCATTCAGAAATTTCAATGCCAACATTACTTTTAGACTTTCCCACGTGACATCCATTCTTTTTTCAGTTCATATATGAACTAAGAAACTAAAAACAGGAGGTGGGGGGAGTCTCCTTCCGATGATGAAGGACAGATGTGTGAGACCCTAAAATGGGTGGCCCTGGGTGCCGCGGATCTGAGGGACATGGGTGCTAAGCCACACCTGGCCGATCTGTGGGCAGGACCGGAAGGCTCTGCCAGGCCCCCTGAGGGTGAGGGGGGACAGGCAAAGAGCTCTGGGTGCCTGGGGGTCCTCAGCCTAGACCGCTACCCTCCCATCCTCAGCCCCTCTCCGTGGAGCCCCAAGTGGTCCCATCGTCTGAACTGCTGGGCTTTATTCCAAAATAAAGTTTATTGTCCCAAACTCAGCCTTCTTCCCAGACTGGGGAGGACCAGGAGGGAGGCTCTCACCCGCTTGGAAGAATTGTTGATTTTCTCGTTCCCACACGTTCGCCATCACTGTCTTGCCGCGGCTGGAAGTGGCTTCAGGCGGCACTTGTCAAGGGATTCCAGGCCACCGGCTTCCTCTCTCCTTGACGCAGGTTATTATATCATTCCCTACCCAGAGCCGAGTTATTAGCCATAAATGTATTTACCTACAGAAATATGTCCTTTTATGATGGGGCATGAATATTAAAGAGCGGTGTTCTGGAATACCTGGCCACTAACACGGCAGGATAAAGCCGGTTCCAGATGCCCCAAGGCCCACTCCTGGCCTTAAAGGAAACATCCTATCTTAAGGAACCGCCACAGAAATCTTTAACACTATTTAGCAGTCTCGTCGGAGGGAGTTTGTCTCTCATTTACCAGGAGATGAAATACGTGAGTTTTCGGTCTTTGCTTCTGTTTTATAATTTCAAAAAGTCAGAAAATATTGCATTCACTGGCAATCAATTTATTTCGATTGATAAAAAGGGGTTAATAAAACCCCCTTAGAAATACAAACCAGGTGAAAGTGATATATCTTTCTGGTGCCTTCTTCGGGCTGCCCATAAAGACAGCACGCCGTTTCTTTCTTCCCAGCAAGTCTCCCCGGTTCTCTATGCCTAGTGAGTCATTTATAATCCTTATTATTGCCAAGCCACACGCTAACACGACATCCGTCATATTTCCACGTGCTGGGGGTTTCTCCGTACTGTGGTGTGAGAGCTGAGAGGCACAACACCCTCTAATTTATAGGAAAATCCATGCAAAAGTGGGTTATCAAACATAACCGATGTGACTTCATACACTCGAAAATAAAAAAAAAATTTAGGATGAAATATAAAACATGCTAAAATTTAATCTCTTGTTGAAACATAGCATAGCACAGAGAGCACACTGTGTGTGACACACAGGGAATGTCACCAACAGAGCAGAAGCAGGGATGAGTTCAAACGAGGCACAATTAATACTTTCCAGTCAAACCTAAAGCTGTGGAGTTTAGGAGACACATTTGCGGTTTATTGATATTTTTATTCACCCACAGCACCTGTGAAGAAAATGCAAAGTGACAGATTAAAAATCCCCGCTATGTACCCAGCAAATGTCTACATGAGGGGATGAAGCGGGGCACGTCCATCGCCCGGTCGCAGGTAACTCTCTCTTGCGCACCAGTCTTTCAATAGTACAATCCTCTATTTATGGTCATCCCTGAAGAGCACACATATGATGTCACTGGCTCAGATCCCAAAGGCCTCCACGTAGAGGTATTGTTTAGAAAGCTGAAAAGCAGTGAGTTATTGTTTTTTGCCTTGAAGAAGTATGTCTAGATCATTATAAGGACTGCATCTAGGAAAATCTTGTACTGAGTCTTGTCATACGTTAAAAAAACAACAACAAGAAACCTGAGCGAAGATGCCACTGGAACAAGACCATGACCCTCAGCAAACAGATGTGTGCTGACCTCATAGAGACAGGTATCCTGCAGATCCGGTCCTCCGGGATGGACACCTGTCCACCCAGAGTGGCCCGGACAGGTTACCTGTGCGCTGCAGAGCTGATCACTGAGGCAGAAGGTGAGGGCCAAGTATGGGCCCGAGACAACCCTGATCAGCCACTCTGCAGAAACACTGTGATTTGAACAAAGACAAGAGGTGGATGAGTGCCATATTAGACGACTTTAGGGGATAGCAGCTGGAGGGCGGGGTGCCCCTTTGAAGGCCTCCCCAGGCCCTGGCTGGAGCAGATGCCACACAGCTAAATGCTGAACTCATCATTCACCGGCCTTGCCCTGAGTATCACCTCTTTTACATCCCAAACGAGATAAGAGGACAGTAATTTTTGAAAGAGGCCATTAAAAATTGAAAGGGGGGAAGGTTAAGTCAGTGGAAGAATAGAATGGCTTTGCAACAATTGAATGAAAACTGTTACTCACTTGCCCAGCCAGTATGGCTTGGTAGTTGAGTGTCAACCTATGAGCCAGGAGCTCATGGATCGATTCCCAGTCAGGGCACATGCCCGGGTTGTGGGCTTGATTCGATGTTTCTGTCCCTCTCTGCCTCTCTGAAATCAATAAAAATATATATTTTTAAAAACTGTTTTAAAAACTGCAATCCCATCCCCACCACACACACACACACACACACACACACACACACACACACACAATCCCTTGGCCAGGAGCTGAGCCACTTATTAAAGGTAATCCACAGCTACTCCTTGAAGTTTTGACTCCCCTGGAAGGCAGGTGACAGGAGCAGGCTGTTGTATTCCTGTTTACAGAGGAGGGAACTGAGACTCAGAAGTCAACACTTGCTCAGCACACATCCTTAGTTAAGTGCAAACGAAACCCCTGCTGACCCTTTGTGAACTCCGACTGGTCCAGTGCTCAGCTGGGAGAGACTGGAGGTGGTCACAGGAGGGCCAAGGAGCGGGAGCTGACCGTGTCCTGGATGGCAGGCTCACCATGCCCAGACGGCTCACTGAGAACCCAGAGCGCCCCCTTGAGGTAGACCCCTTATCAGCACCCCAATCTGTCACCCAGGGGTGGGGACTGCCAGGTGAAAGCACCTTGCCCTGGAGCTGGAAGTCCCCAGGGGGAAACTGGAACTCAGGTCACCGTCCTCCTGAGCCACTTCCCCTGAAGGTGGTGTGCAAGGCGGCGGGAAGTGGTGCCCGGATAAGCAACTTGTAACAGGTATGTCTTTCTTGTGGTAAAGCATACATAACATACAGTGGATCATTTTAATCATTCTTCAGTGTACAGATCAGTAGCATTAAGCACATCCACCTTTTGGTCAACCATCATCCCCTCCCTGTCCACAGCCCTTTTCATTTTCTAAACTGAGACTCTGTCCCCATTAAACAATAGGTCCTCTGCCTCCTCCCTTCAGCCCTCTGAAAATCTGAAAATTCTATTCACGGAGAGAGACCACTCTATCGTCTGTCTATTCCAGTACTTCAAATAGTGGAATTACACTGCATTTGTCCTTTTGTGACCAGCGCATTTCATTTAGCATAATGCAGCTGGTTGCAGAATTTCCTTCCCTTTTAGGCTGAGTAATATTCCATGGTCTGTATCTACCACATTTTGTTTATCCATTTACCCATCAATGGACACACAGGTCACTCCTACCTTTTGGCTATTATGAATAGTACTGTTTTGAACATGGATATTCTAATCACTGCTTTCAATTATACTCAAAAGTGGAATTGTGGAATCATATGATAACTTTTTTAAAAAATTTTTTGAGGTACTGTCATACTGTTTTTAGTAGTGGCTACAACATTTCACATTCCCACCAGCAATGCACCAGGGGTCCAATTTCTTCCCATCCTAGCCAACAATGATTTTTTTTTTTATTACAACCCTCCTAATGGGTATGAAGTGGTATCTCATTGTGGTTTTGATTTGCATTTCCCTAATGACTAGTGATATTGACCATATTCTCATGTGTTTATTGGCCATCTGTATTATCACCTTTGATGCATAAAAGTTTCAAATTTTAAAATAGTTCAATTTAGGTATTTTCTCTTTTGTTGACTGTGATTTTTTAAAAATGTATCTTTATTGTTGAAAGTATTACCTTTGTCCCCTTTTTGTTGACTGTGTTTTATGCAAGACTCCATTGTCATGAAAGTCTCCCTTTTTCTTCCATCGGTTAATGTATTTAACGTTTAAATAACGAGCACGTTAACTATCATTTTATTATTTTTAAAGTTTTAAAAAATTTAAGATATTAAAAATTCAATAAACATACTAAGTAAATAGGGTACAAAGTCCCACTTGTCTTTGAAGTCAGAGTTGAGCCCACTCTCTCTCCCTACTGCGAACCCCAATACCTGTCATGATGGTCCCCCGGGGAAAGTCTGCCTTACCATTTTTAACAAGTGTCACGAATATCTTTCCTCTAACACGACATACAGTAGGTGTATTTAGAACGATGCGGTGTAGCTCAGCACTGTTTACCAACACCAGGCACCTGGGTACCCCAGCTCACCATGCACACAGCCGGAACCCCACTCGAGGGTCGGGTGGAGAGGCCATGGTTTTCCCCTTGTACACAGTCCAAGGGCCCCGCAGTGCTGCCCTCAGCCAGCAGAGAAATACTGGCCCTTGGGCAGCGGTTCTCAACCTGTGGGTCGCGACCCCTTTGGCGGTCGAACGACCCTTTCACAGGGGTCGCCTAAGACCATCCTGCATATCAGATATTTACATTACAATTCATAACAGTAGCAACATTACAGTTATGAAGTAGCAACGAAAATAATTTTATGGTTGGATCACAACATGAGGAACTGTATTTAAAGGGCCAGAAGGTTGAGAACCACTGCCCTAGGGTCTCCGGACCGGAAGCCACCGTGAACCAGGCCAAACGAGGCTGGAGACCGTGGAGTCGCCCCGCAATTGTACTTGCCAGCTCCCGCCAGGAAGTGAGGCCGCCTCACTGGGACTACAATTCCCAGAGACCCCGCGATCTCGCCCGTTCTGATTGGCTCACTGCGCCTTCTATCAGCCAACCAGCCAGGAAGGTGGCCAATTACGAGGGCGAGAAGGCGGACGCTCCTCCCTCCGATCCAAGGTCTGCAGTCGAAGCGTGGTGGGTCCCTTAAAAAGTTAAGTTCTTCCGACCTTCACGACCGATTCAGTGATTGTAGAAGCGATAGGCCGGCCCTCGTTGCAAAATAATGGCCTGGGACAGGCGTCCCTTAAGTCCAGAAGACTCTGGTCTCCGCTACTGCTGCCTGAAGCGATCGTCCGCGGGACTCAAGTGGTCCGGCGGAACCCCGCCCCCATTTCTCATTGGCTCCCGCGGGACACGTGGAGGTAGAGGGCGTGGACGCGGCGGCGTGGGCGGGGCGCCCGGCCTCTGGTGGAGATGATAGATTGTCCCGGGTACTCGGGCCTGTGGGTCGCATGGACACCCTGGCGCTGGGCCGGTGGCGTCGGCGGAGGCCGGAGGAGTTGCAGGTTCCGGCAGACGCGGTGAGCCCCCAGAGGCCTGGGCGTTGGGAACGGGAAGGCGGTG